ACTTGCCCTGGCTCCACATCCTCCTTGTCCTGGCCCTACCTGCTTTTTCAAATTGTCTGTCTGTCTGTCTGTCTGTCTGTCTGTCTGTCTGTCTATCTATCTATCTATCTATCTATCTATCTATCTATCTATCTATCTATCTATCTATCGGTAGTCCTCATTTAGTGACCACAATTGGGACTAGCAACTTGGTCATTAAGTGAAGTGGTCACTAAGTGAGACTGCAGCTGTGCTTATGATCTGACTTTGGCTTTCCTTTGCTGTACAGACCTGCAAAGGTCATAAATGTGATGACTGGTTGTAAAGTTCCTTTTTCATCACTGTCATAACTGCAAATGGTCTTTAAACAAATCAGTCACTAAACAAGGTCTCTCTCTCTCTCTCTCTCTCTCTCTCTCTCTCTCGATTTATATGGCTGCCCATCTCAAATACATGACTTTGGATGGCTAACAATATTAAAAATAGTGAAACCACATACAAAAGACATAAAACACAGAGCAGCGCAGAGAAAATTGCAAAAACATCATACAACCAACACAACTAGGAAGCAGGGTTCATCACACAAAAGGCTTGAGCACAAAACTAGGTCTTTTAGGCCTTGCAGGAGACCAGCAGGGTCGCGGCCAATCTAATCTCCGGAGGGATGATATTCCAGAAGGCGGGCTACCCAACATGATACTAGTAGCCCCAGTACCATCCTATTCCTGGGAAAATAATCACATGCTTCAAGGGTCTCACCGTATGTCGCTTGGAAGCAAGACAAAGGGGATAGACAATCCCTTAAGAAGCTGGCCAAAACTGCTCTAGGCTCCTATCTCTAGTAACTGTTCAGCAGGGAGAGCGAGCATCTTCTGTAGCTAGGGGATATCCGGTCCGTGCTTCAAAGTGGAACGAGCTGGGTTTTGTCTAGTCCCGAATTCCGAGATAAAACAGAAGCTCAGATAAACAGGAAAAGACGGATGTTGTTATTGAAACAAATGCACATTTCAGAAAAAAACAGTGGTGAGGGTCAGACAAGGTAATTGATCCAAGGCTGTCAGGGGGGTAACGCAGGAAAGCCGGCCACTGCAATAACCGTTGACAACCAGGGCTGTTTCTGAATCCTGCCTATAGCTGGTGTGAAAACTGAGGTGCTCCTACTGTGGAATTCAGTTCTAAACCAAGTCTGTTCTGAAACATTTCAGTCGATCTGCACTGAGTCTGGCTCAAGTACTGGTTGTAAAAAGCAAAGGAGAAAAGATTGCATTAAAATCTGCATTGATCTGGTTTGAGGGAAAATACACTCCAATATGTACAACCAGTTGTACAACCCCACGTCATTCACTGATGATTATGAACCTGCTTTGTAGCCTGAACTGCCCTTTCCAGTTTTGTGATTCTGTGTTGCAAGAATTCAGACAAATGGATTAAATGGTTATACTTGGTTATATCCCACATTTCTCCTGGTGCTCAGAGTGGCTTACATGGGAATTTCCCTTTACAGGTACTCCTTGTTTAGCAACCGCAATTGGGACTGGCAACTCGGTTGTTAAGCGAAGTGGTCACTAAGTGAAAATCACGTGACTGTGACTGTGCTTACGATTTTACTTCATTTTCCTTTGCTTCTTGCTACTTCCTTCAGCTGAACTGGGGTTCTTTCTCTTTCTCTTTGAGGATATCTTGGTATGGGGTAAATAAGCAAATGAAAATAAGAGCAGAGAGATGCTGTGAAAGTTGTAAATGGGAATTTCCCTTTACAGGTACTCCTTGTTTAGCAACCGCAATTGGGACTGGCAACTCGGTTGTTAAGCGAAGTGGCCACTAAGTGAAAATCACGTGACTGTGACTGTGCTTACGATTTTACTTCATTTTCCTTTGCTTCTTGCTACTTCCTTCAGCTGAACTGGGGTTCTTTCTCTTTCTCTTTGAGGATATCTTGGTATGGGGTAAATAAGCAAATGAAAATAAGAGCAGAGAGATGCTGTGAAAGTTGTAAATGTGAGGACTGGTCACTAAGTTTTTTACCACTGTCATAACTTTGAACAGTCACTAAATGAGGCAGTCACTAAGTAAGGACTACCTGTATTTTATTACCTTACAACAGCAATGGTCTGAGGGTGGGGGACAGGTCCAAAGTAATCAAGAGAGTTTTGGTGGCTGAGGGGGGACTAGAACCTGGGTCTCCCTGTTCCTAGTCCAACACCTTCACCACTACACCACACAGTGTTTCCAGTGGTGAATGGATTAAACCACAGTTAAATTAACCATGCAAATCCCCACCATTTGCACTGGTATCCCAGCAGCCTTTGGGATGGCTGGGTAGCACTTTTGAAGTTGTTGTTTAGCACGACAACAGCAACAGCCAAAAACCCCATGAGGCTGAAGGCACTGCTGTTTTGGGAAGGGAAGGCCGAGTCTTCCCCCATAGCCTTTGTATTCACCTTTTGCACAGCTGCAAAGAAGGAGCAGTAGAAACGCTGGTGCAGAAGCAGCTTTACTTTGTGGCCAGTCTTTTATTCTGCGTTGTTTTCCTGGAGGACCAATAACTCTTCTATCCTATCCTGTCCTAAATTTATATGGCCACCTTTATAAACTCTGGGCATTGTCCATCAATAAGAAAACACCAAAACACCAATACAATTAAAATAGCAGCAATTGAAAGTATTATTTTTATTGCTATTATTATTTATTTAAGTTTATTATAGCTGCCCACTCCAGTAGACTCTGGAATAATAGACAATCGGGAGCCCCCAACATACACCCCCAAAATGCACTGCATCTCTCTAGGCAAGATCTTCTATCAACCTGACCCCAATCCATGCAAACTCTACGTATAAAAATCTACAATCCGCTTGATGATAAGAGAAGTTCAGATGACGCCGCAGATCATGGTGATGATAAGCTAATCAAAACTAAGCAATTGTTATTTGTAACTACGAGGGGATGTTGGTCTTTTTTACATTTTTATTTGTTGTGTGTTTTTTTTTCTGAGTGTGATGAGCTGTCCGTTTTTATTTTACGTCTGAAAATGGACTAATAAAAAATTTAAAAACTAACAACAACTAAGCGAATGTTAAAGATTGTGCATTCTGCCTCATTCACAATCGGTCCCATGGTCTGGGTTCAAACTCGCATCTGTGGAGGTGGCTGGCGGGGTGATGGGTTTGGTTCCCCCCCCCCCCCCCTTTTTTGGGTTTTTGGGGTAAAATTTAAGGGGGGGGTTTTTGGAATTTTTTTTTTTTTTTTTTTTTTTTTTTTTTTTTT